TCTAAATGGCAGCACAGACACAGCAGGCAGCAGGCAGCAGGCAGCAATCCGACGGGCCACCCATTGGCGTCTTTGTCGCTAATTCAATAAGCATCCAATTACAACGCGGCGAGCAGCAACTTGACAGCTTCGCTACGCCCTTCTTTCTCCCCTGGCAACAGTGCCAGTGTCGTATACGCAATTTTCATTTGGCATATGAAAATTTAATGCAGCTAAAGTGCTGTCACTCGTGTAGATAATTTTCATAATTATTTTCTGCCTTTTTGCTTTGATATTTGCGAATTGGCCTATGCACTAAAGCCAATGCGCCTTGCTTGAAAGAGAAATAGCAAGAAAATTCAAATCAATGCATCGAATCACGTGCAGCTCTCGTATATTTTAATCTTTAGAGGAAGCAAGACCAAACTTAGACCAGCTCGCAATTGAATGACCCAAATTCAATTTCAGACTTGTGGCCCAAGTCCACGTCGGCGCCGAGCCCCAGCCCGAGGTATATAAAATCATAAGTACGTTTTCAGTTACCAGCACAGCAGGTGACTATCCACATCCACATAAATATCCACATCGGAGCAGGGCAGGGAGACGGGTCGAGGTGTTGACCATAATCAACGCAATGCAATTTCAATGTCTGCGTGTCCTGCTTCACTTTAGCCAGAACAAACCGCACCCAAGGCACACTGTCACTCTGATGGCTGCAGTTTAATTTCTATTTTTATATTCCCTTTACAATCTCCAAAGGAGCATATAAGTTTTATGCTTATCTGCTTTAAAGCAAAAGACACCAGGTCTTTTGTCAATGCTTTGGGGTTACTCAACCAATAACAGGAATTAAAAGGAAATTCTCACTTCACAAGTTTTACTTGCTGTCTTAATAAACCTACTTACAAAGATGATATGGATGTGGTTAACTACAATAAATGCGTACATATAATTCTCAGACTTACAATTTACAGAATTCAAAACTTCGTCTAAAGTCTTAAAGTAAACTTGACATACAATAAAAGATTATCACAAAATAAAAACATATTTAATATATATATACGGTAAAGGGTATTTAATGTTCGTGACACCTGAAATATTATTTATTTTCTTATTTTCTTGTTTTTCTTTGGTTACCAAAGCAATTTACATGTACCACATATGTATGTGTTCATGATGTTTATTTTGATACAAACAAAAGTTCTGCCACATGTAGGAAATTAAAGCCAAACTGCGACACCTTTAACCAAGTAGGAATGCTGGCTGTGAGGCTGTCAGGTTGTCCGGCTGTCAGCACAGCATGCGTACAGACTAAGTTAATTGCTCTCGAGATTAAGCGACAAGAAAATTTAGAGCTTGAAAAGAACAAAAATAGTTTTGTCATGAACTAAATATTTATTAATATTTTCAATAAATTTAAAGCCCAAACCCTAAACTTAAACAGCTTTGTCGCTTCACGCTTTACTGAATTTTTGTAATTTTTTATGAATTGTGGTATGCCCTTTAAGGTTAAAACTATAAGATTTCCTGGAAATAGGTCACTTAATGAATATTAAAACTATTTGAACTAAGTGTTAACTCTGCTCATAATTTACTAAATGCAATGGCTTTCAGGCAAATATTACATAGATTGCGCAAGAGGAGCTCCCAATACTTATTTCGTCTTATTTCTCACTTCAATGTCTGTAGAGGCTCGACGATTTAAAGTTTAAAAAGACGTGATATAAGTTTATATGTTAAACGTCTAAGGTAACTTTCTGAATTTAAAGTATCATATCTTCGTTAGGTCTCGACTACATCATACATTTTAATCAAAAGAATCAAAATGATTCTTCAGCTCATTGGCAGCGTCTGTGAGCTATGAACACTACCTAATTTTATTTAAATTATTTATGAATATCTTTCAACTTGACACTATTCTTAGCATTTTTCATTCAATGCCATTCGTTTGCCTCAAGCTTAACTGCGAGCGTCATTTGATCAAACTATCAGCTGCATTTTATAATTAATCGTCTGGCACTTGGCTGGCTCGGAGCATAAAATTCAAGTGACTGAGTCAGCGAATCACTCCGACACGCGATAGCTGCCTGGAAAGCAAAGCAAGGACCAAAGAGCTGCAGCAGCCGAAGCAGAAGTTGCAGCCAATTCACAATTTCAGCCAAGTGTGAAAGCTGAGGGAAGGCAGCAGAATGGTTTGTGTGCAGCTGAGTTTGCTGTGGACAAACACTATAAATATTATAAATATTTAGTTATTCGGAAATCGAACGCAATATGAATTGTGCACTGACCCAACAATTGCTGATTATCTGCTTATTTGCGCGCAAATATTATTATGTGTTTATTATTTTCGGATCAAGCTTTTTATTTGCATTTGTGCTAAGCCTTTAAGCCTTGTTGTATACAAATACTATCGAGTGATTGTGTCCAGTTCACGGTTGGCTATCAGCCCCAAGCGCAAATAATGTATAAAAAATAATCGAAATTTATGTGCGCTCTGCTTTATACTCCGCTGAGCGGGGCAACTGGTGCAGGTACCCGGGGCGTATGAGTTATATGTATTTACGCACCACTCATTATAGCTGCGCAGGCGGCCATAAATCAAATGCGAAAATGATTGATAAACGGTTCGTCGGACAAGCGCACTCATTCATATGGCCCTCGCATCACTGAGCAGTCCTCGCCTGCACTGCCTAATAATAATACAACAAATGCTCCAAACCAGTCAACAATCATACGCCCTGTGGTACCAATGAAAACCAAGAATGCTAACAAAAGAGCACACACTGGTTGCTTCCAGAGGGCACTTTAAGTTAACAAAGTAGAGGCGACTAAGATATACTCAGTTAGTTCTTTTGCTAAGAAATTTTCTTAATGAAAATAAGTGTCTTTTGAAGTAGTAATGGGCATGAAGAGAAATTGGTGGGGTAACCATCTGTGATACGAGCGATGATAACTGGTTAGGGTATGTGTTTCCATACCATTGTCTTATAGAGTCCTATGAATTCTTCGTTTGAGATTAAAATCAATCCCTAGCACCGTTTGAAGAGTTTTGTGATTTATTTTTAAGGAAGGCTCGAACAATTTCATGACTTCAAGCTTTTCGTATGCATAGCGTGATATACCATTTGAGCCACTCACAGTATGTACAGGGTATAAACTGTAACTGAGATGCACGGCGCTGCGTAAAATCCGTTTATTACTTTATTTGTAAAAAGTGCGATGAGTGTCCATTCTTTTGCTTGATGTGCCCTTGTCCCATTGAGCAGTGGATGCTTGTTGCTGCGGTGCGATAAGCGGGCACAAGACTAGGAGACAGCACACATCCAACAACCTGTAGCTTGGCACAGTCACGGCCACAGCCACAGTCACAACCAGAGAGCGTAGACGCAAGCGTTTGGGTCATAAAATGCAATCACATATTGATCTTATTGTACGAGTATATGGCTTCGTTTGCCTTTCTTTTGAAATGTTGGTCCAATTTATTTGATTTGAAATCAGCTTTTAAAAATGGCTTAAGAGTCGCAGCGGCTGCTAACAGAAATCCCACACGTGTGTTCTTATCTCTAAGTGGCAAATGCTTCTTTATGACCGAACATTTCCTCGACCTAAGCAGTTGAAAGTTACAGCAATTTTTCTTGATTTTTGTAAACAGCTTAAAGGTCTGCATCAAAGCAATTGCCCGTCGTAATTGCCCACTCACGCATCGGGCACTTTTTTGCACTTGACCTCTTGCTGGCAGAGTGCTCTGTCCGATACAAGAATTAATTAGTCTATGGTAGTTTGGCTGTGCGTTAATTCAATTAGTTCAAGAGGTGAAGTAAATAAGTGAAATTCATTACATTTCTTTGCTCCCTTAAGCCAAGTTAGGCATTTGTGTCTTTGGTTTCTTCCATGAATTCATTTTTACCTGTTGGAAAATATATGAAGTTTCATTTAATCGGAATAATATTTAAATATTGTTTTATCTTAGTATAAGTTGAATGCGTGCATAAAATTATCTATGACATTTAATATATTTCCGAGCTTGTATCTGTGGTCTGGCAATCAGTCATGGGCGTTTTGTCTTATGAATATGAATAGCTAAATAAATCATTTTATCAATTGATGCTGCTCAGTTCCGTTGCTAGATGCAAGCATTTTCTGCTGTTCATTTTATGTTGCTATTAGAAAATGGTTGCCACACACGCGATTGATTGCCTGAAATCCCTTCGGCCAGTTGCAATGCTGTGTTGGTCCATCACACACAATCAAAAGCCTGTGGGATGACAAATATCGCCACGTCTATCAATGAAAGTGCACTCTGAGTGTGCATGTCCCTCGGCGCATCCTGGCAAACGAGCGAAGTGCCAAATGATTAAATGAGACCCCAAGTCAGAGTTAAATGTCAGACTCATGCGTCGGACAGCGGACATCGGACATCGGGCATTGGAGCACAGGACAGGTGCAGTGAGCCAATTCATTTGTCTGACGAGCTCTGTGTGTGGACTGAAGTGCTCCCGGGTGATGAGGGGTTGCCTAACCACTGATGTCAGAGAGATGTCACATTGCTGTTAAACTTTCGCAACTGTAAACATAACAGTGACAACAGCATTAGGGGCACGACTAGGACAGCCGACGACAGGAAGTACAGAATGCAAAACTGAGTGGACCAGCAAAGAGGTCAACCCAACCGAACGACTGTGCAGCAGTCAAATGGACAGGAAGTCGAGCCAGGGGCGTGGCAGCCAGGGGCTTCTGCTTCGGTGAGCAGTTAATGAATCACCTAATGGGAAATGGTATACCTCGGACTTCCGCTTGTGTCCGATGGACAGAAGTCCGACTATGACTGGCGGCAGTCCTTTCGATCGATTTTTAATTGTTGCGGCATACGCAAGGTGGGACATGAACGAGAGTTATATTGTTGGCTTGTATTGGGTTTCGCTTAGCTCTAAGCCGCTTACCAAAACTTAAATACCACTTTAATCAGATCTATCATAATTGTTTTCACTCTCTCTATATATCTCTCTCTATTTCTATTTCAGCAAATAAATCGCAGCACAATGATGACAAACAGATTTGCTTTCGCTGCCTTGGCATTGATGACCATCTGCCTGCTGGCCATTTCGAGAACCGATGCAGCGCCCATGCCCAGGTAGTTGTAGAATAACCTTAGCTAAACACACGATGTCTGCATGAACTAATTAATTTCTGGCACTTAAGCTGCGAATTCTGAAATTTGTATAAAAATATTTGCCAAAACCAATTATCCGAGAGTGTTCAAAGTGCACGAGCAGTCTAGAGCGTCGGCTGTGGGGAACTCAGCTTGGGCAAGGCCAACCAGCTGGCAAACAGCAGCATAGAGAACATTTTTGGCATCAGCTAAGAGCTGGAAAGCTGGAGGCTCTGAGCTGTGAGCTGCGAGCTGCTAGCTGAGGGCTGAGAGCTGAGATGATGATGCTAATTTCAACAACGCATATAGAAAAGTGTATATGTATATGTATAAGTAAATGTATGTGGGTGCGCGTGTCCTTTGTCAATTGCACACTTTCTTTTTCTCTCTGTTTTTTTTTTTTTTTGTTATCTGGGAGTTCCCTTTGCATTAGCATTTTTAATATGCCTCGCAGCTCGTCGAAATTTTAATTAACTAAATGTAAACTCTTGCTGATGCGACAATTTAAGCTGCAAACATTGTATTTTCGTGTTTCAAAATCCTACTAAGATGACATTTGAAGCACGCACAGTTCTTGATATGCTTAAAGTTCTTTTAGCGAGGCGACTGCTCGAATGGAAAATTACATTCAATGACATTTCGCTCAGGAGAGGGGGGTGGGGGTTGACATTCGACATTCTACATTCGACATTCGATTTCCATGCAAATGCAAGATACGAAACGAATGTAAATTACAAGGCAAAGTAATTAGGGAGCGTGATTGTTTAATTACTTCGAATGCTAAGCTGGCAGGCTTCGTGGAGCTGTGATTTGCAAAGCAATGTTAATTATTTATAAGTCGGGGCAGCTAGCCTAATATGAGTATTTATAGAGACTTTAATAACTCGCTTCACTGACCCCCAAAACAGTCAAAGCTCCAACGGCGGCTATGGCGGCTACAACGAGCTCGAGGAGGTGCCCGACGACCTCTTGATGGAGTTGATGACACGCTTCGGTCGCACCATAATACGAGCACGGAACGACCTGGAGAAGTAAGTACCAAGTGGCGTATAAGCCTCGGACTAGAATTGTTATTGTTATGCTGTTCCTCGTTTAGCTCGAAGCGCACTGTGGACTTTGGATTGGCGCGCGGCTACTCGGGCACCCAGGAGGCAAAGCATCGCATGGGCCTGGCCGCCGCCAATTTTCCGGGCGGTCCTGGACGAAGGCGACGATCTGAGACCGATGCTTAAATTGGGCAACAACTACGATAATCACGATAATATCTTACTTCAAGCGAATTCTACAAAAGGTTACAGCAAGTCTCAAGCAAACTACACTTTCCATCGGCTTCTGCAAATGTATAATTTTTAGTCGTGTTCCGATTCGATTCAATTACGTTTCTATTGCAACTTAATATATATATATATATACAAATATATATCGGAATTACTATGTATAACTTATGCACAACGGATGCATAGCACAAAGAGTTTAAAATGTTCTTAAATATGTATACCATACTGAAAATTGCAAATTGTTGCTCCACTGTTGAAAGAGTTAATGCACCATCAATCTATAAATCTTAAGATCATGATCCTCTCTCGCTCTCTCGCTCGTCTAAATGTTCAAAAACTAAAGAAAAATACAAAAAAATATTAAAAACATATAAGCTAATCAAATATTTAGTAACAAGCTAAGAACAAATACGTTACCACAAATAAAAAAATATAAACAAATGAACTGTAATTGAACTCGCGCAAAAAATCTTTTAATAGGTATGCCTTAGTATTAGCACACACACAAATATATATATATACACATATATATATATAATATATACATATATGTATGTTATATATGCACGTGTTTGGCCCTTGAATCTTAAGGCAGCTCAAGCCAGTTTCCCGCCTAGAAATTGATTTAAATATGTGACACAGAAACTATTCAAATATTCCACTGTTAAAACTGTTTTCCACTATTTTGATTGGGATATTCTATATATACTACTACATCACGCATATATATATATATATATATATATATATATACTTCTGTACGATTTGCTTTGTGCTTGAACACTTCTGTCTGTGCCAAAAACATTCACTCGGAACTTTGAACTCTTTTAAAGGGATTTCCTGTAAATAATATAAGAATCACGCGTGCATATTTGCTATATACATCAAATATCTAACAAGATGCGCCTGCATATATACTTATATATAATATATATATATTGACGGAATATTGTGTCTATTATAAACATAAATACATTAATATCGCAATGAACAAGATTAAATAAATTTACATTTAGAGAAACATAACAAGACGGGATTTTCACTATTATTTTCAGGAATCATCTGAGCCTAATGAGTCCCTTTAGGAGGATGATGCAATATGTCAATGATCGGCTACAGACAAGCTTGAAATATAATTTATCATAAAATTATCTCAGAGAGACAGCTTGACTGAGTGTTTCTCCTAAGCTGAGGCAGAGAGATGGCTTGAAAGGATTTCTTTGATTCGAGAGCTTTAGAGCTAGGCTTATAATTGTTGGCCTGCTCTGCAGATATATCTCAAAATGACATAGCTCATCTTTTAGGCCTTGAACAATATATTTCACATTATTGCAGCCTGAGGCACGTCTACATCTTTAAGTTAAATAATTGAACATTTATATAACTAATGAAAAACAAATTTGCTTGCCAATTCTCTTGGTCTATGATTGAGTGGAAATCGAGATATTTGGGATAGTAATAAATATTTTGGTTCTGTTTACGATTGTATCGTGTGTTTTAATTATAATTATAATGTTATTTAATTATAATTATCTCAATCCAACAAAACTAATGTGGACCTATAGGATTCCAATCTGGAGCCATACTAACTCCAACATTATGCAGATATATTTTGAAATAGAGCGCTTAGGTCTTCAATGCACAGTTACTCCCCCCAATCAAGAGATTTTTAGGATAACCAATGCCCACATAAAGCGACTAGATAGACGCAACAACCTCCTTGGCATGGAGCTTAATAACAGTACCTCACTCCAGTTACTCGCCGTCTAAGAAGATATCGCCAGTTCGTTGTTATTGAATTCTCTAAATGTTCTGGCCTATAAGCCTCGTCTTTAGCTATTCTCCCCCTTTAGTCCTTCAGAAAAAACAATGTAAATTTTAAAACTAAATTATCTAGTTGTATGCATCTTCGATTTGTAATGGAATAAAATATTTAAAAAATATCCAATGACAATTACCTTACAGCTCAGACTGCGATTCATTCAACTTTGTAGTGTTGTCTTTAGACTTATTTTACATTAAAATCCTGACTCAGCTTGAGTTACCCTTTACCGACTATTATATACTCACCTCTATTAATGAAAGGCATTTATTTATGATTTTAACCAAGCGCTCTTCGATTTTATTGCCAAAATTCTCCAGTGTAACCTGCTCGCATAAAGTGTTACTTTAGTATATTGTACAGAGGATTACACATAGTCAAACTCTTGTAGCAGCATTTGCCTAATTCAAGCCGATTACAAATGTTTCTCTTGGGAAAGACAAAAGCGCAACAGCAGAGCCGTAAATACAAGGTAGATTTATCTACGAATGCAATTGATTATGTTTATTTGCACTCGAATTAAATTCATGCGCAATACTCATAGAGACATGTGTGCTTAACCCAGATAAGGCCATTGGGTGAAGTAGATATTGGTTTGCCCAAGCTGGTAATTTGTTGGCACTCTCTGCCAGTTATTACCACATATTAATTTCGATGTTTGCGGGCAAGTTTGTAATGGGGAACGGGGGCTGCATAATTGTTAAAGTAAATATTATTATAGGAATTAGTTGTTATTACTATTGATATTAGAAACTTGGAATATTGTTATAAGCAGAGAACGTTTATACTTTAGGCTCACTCAAAAGGGGAATTTTGTTAATTGGTATTTAACAAACAGTAGATGGCCTAGTCGGTACCTGAATATTCTTCATCAGGATTAACAGCTGAGTCGACTTAGACTTGCGGATTGATCTAGGAAACTACTAGAGCCAAACTCTTGACTTATGCGGACGTCCTCCTATACCGATTCGATATCATGTTTACTTAATAGCATCGATAGCTTGACTTATCTTTGTTTGAAAAACTTCTGCTGAACTCTGCCGCTCGAAAGAACGACGTCTTTGATTTAAAGTTCTCATCTAATAGGAAAATTTTTCCTAAAAACAAACTACGATTTTCCTAAAAGAAACTTACCTCTATTGCCATGGTCTCCCCCTGTGTGTAATTGGAGCATAGTACTCAAGTGCTTTTATTATTTTCCTATAATCGGTGGTTTTTTAATGCATCGCCATCGCGATGCTTGTAAATTCCATAGGCATGCTGGAACATCTATCGATATCCATATTCAGTTATTTGTGTTACTTACTTGGACTCTCCTGAAGCTAGCTCGATTCTTCTAAGATATATACAAATTAAGAGTATTTAATAGCCCAGCATTCCCTATTAAATTTGAAAACAAAATTATTTTTATAGGGTACAGTTTCCTAAGGACATAGCAGAGTCAATCAATATATGCGCGAACTCTGAACCTTGAACATTTTAGAAACACTAATCCAACAAATGTGGGTATATAAACTGAAACACTCACCTCAGCAGCTCGTCACGGGAGTTCAGAGTATCTGCTAGTTTCGACTAGAGCCCTGATTCATGATCAAAAAACATTTGCGGTAATAGTGAAACGGCTACACTTTGATTATTTTTTAAGATGTAAATAGGAAGCCAAACTGCAGTAATGAAATCACGTAGTTAGCATGAGATACATCGAGTTATCGAACTGAGCTGTTCAAATGACCAGCAGCAGAGACCTGCTCAGTCGAGATGGAATCAAATCATTTGGAATATTTATGGAAACTCCCTTTTAGCATGCGCTCTCACACTTTTGCTCTCAGCTTAGAGGTCTTGAGTTCTCTGACTAACAGCCACAAATGCCTCCATAAATGCCTAATGGCAACTGAATGTTTAATCAGTTTCCTTCTGAGTTCCGTAAGCGACATTTCAGCAGCAAAATGACGAAGCGAATCGGTTTCGTGTTTTCGAATTGTGCTCTAATATTATTGTATTTGTGTAATGGAGAATCGTTAAGATTGATGGAAGGTGGTTTTACAAAGAATTAATTATATACGAAATCAGCTGAAATTTCTAATTTTAAGGCACAAATACAATTGACATTATCGAACATCGTATAATGGATGATTTCCAAGCTGAAATTCCGGAACATTTTGAAAAAGTCGGCGATAAATACTACTATTTCGACCAAGACCAAGAGGCTCACAATTGGTTCGGAGCAGTCGAAAAGTGTCGTCAGATCGACGGGCATCTAATCAATCCACAAAACGAAAACGAGCTGCTTCAGGTGGCCTCTAAACTGAGTAGTTCCCAAGAGTATTGGACGGACCTCAACAACCTTGTCAATAAAACTTTATTCTATTCGCTAACTACGGGCAGAGTGGCAAATATGCTCAACGACGATTCGAACAGCGATGTTAATATGTGCGGACTTATTCGATTCGATCCATCCAACTCCAGCTATAGACTGACTAAGCACAACTGCTTTCAGAAAAAGAACTTCATTTGTGAGACAACACAACCGACCACAATATCGTTTTTATTATGGTGATATTTTTTATGAAGGATGTATGCTGATTACATTATCGTATATCCTAAATGGAGCACTCAGTATATGCTACTATATCTATATATATATATGTATGTGTCAGTAATGCACTTATGAATAATGCTATTTTACTATATGTATTCGCTTTGTGGACATGAATCAGGCTGTGATTGAGTAACAATAAAGAACCGCAGTTTGAATTTAACATTATGGTAGGTGAGGCTTCATAAGCAACTAATTCTAAATAGCTTACAAATTATTATACAAGAATGTGTGCAATAGCATAACCTTAGAGCTTAGTAATATTATTGGAAGAACTCACTTGATTGGCACTGGAAGCTACAACCTATCGTAATATGCATCAAATAATACTAATGAACATCAGCTTAAGCCTAATTACATCATCTAGACAATACTAGAAGAAAAACAATCTGTTTCCTTCTGTTTTCTTATACATACTTATGCTACAGTCAGTTATTTACAGTCTTTGACGCAGATAGTTGGATTCACTCTTCGATTAGCTCAATTACACAGGCCTACATGAGTTAGAAACAAAAAGCAGGCTAAACTTTTCCAAATAATAAGTGTGTGGTACAGATATCGTGAAGTATTCAGATTGAAATCCCAATCTTTGGAAAAGTTTAGTCTAATGCTGTGATTAAATTTCATGACAGCTTGTTGGCCAGTGTAGTCGTATTATATCTTCACCCCGTTAGTCGCTCCAGTTGACATCAAAGCGGATTGAATGCCCAGGTTGGCATTGCTGGGAGCATTGCTACCAGACGCTAGCTCCATATACTGAAACGGCACATGATAGGTTTGACCCTTGTGCTCGACAATCAGGTGACCTCGACCACTGGAGGCGCCCACAACTGTGACGGTGTCTCCTTTTTTCAACTGCTGCAGCTCGGCTGAGGCCGTCGGCGATAGAGCTGGAGCCGGATTAGCTAGCGCGTCCTCTGGAAAATTCATTTTCATGATCCGACTCTGCGGATAGCCCAGCTTCTTTGAATTGGCTGTGATTGTGTAAGCCCGTGACAGCGGAACGGGTGGTGGTCGCTCCTGCAGCGTAATCCCAAGCCAAGTGTGATAGTTTACATGTAATGAAAATGAAATAAAAGTGAGTTCATCTGCGTGAGAAGCGTTTTGAATAAAACAGTAGCAGGTGAATGTGATGCTAAATGGAATTGGATTTTGTTGGGGCTTAACTTTACTCTCCTACTGGAAAATTACTTTAAATTGAAACCATTTTATTTTTCACTTCAATTTCCCTTCATGTCAACCGGGCAAAATATACTTTTGTTATTAATTTTGAAATAACTCTTGTAAAATACTTAATATTGCCATTTTCTTATCAACTTTACTACTCTCACAATGTTTTTTCTTTAAAAGTATCTATTTACTATTTCTAATTTAAAAGAAAGAAGAAGTTTCTTTATATTTCTCTCTATTTCTTTCTCTCTGTCTCCCTTTCTCGCTATATCTCTCTCTGTTTCCCGCTCTCTCTCTCTCTCTCTCTCTCTGTCTCTTTCTCTCTCTGTCCCTCTCTATTTTTCATCCTCTTTCTCCTTCCTTCCTTCTAATTCTCTTTCCTATTCTTACTCTCTCTGTATCTCGACTTCTCTATCTCTCTCTCGCTCTTCCTCTATCAACAATTACAGTAGCAACATGTCGCACTTACCAAATCTAATCCGAAAAGGCTACATGTTTGCTGGATAATCTTCTGGTCGCATTTCTCATGCGGATCTGGAGGTGGGGTGCCAGCAATGGGCTGTGGTCGCGGGCGAGTCACAGTGCCGCCAATGCCCAGACACGGAGCTGGATTTGTGGACTTCGCAGAGAGACGTGGCACTGTAGAGTGAAATGCGCATTTGAAGCGATAAAGAGATAATCTGTGGAAAGATGAAAAGCCACTTACCTGTACTAGGAGCTGCACTAGCCACCGCAGCTAATGCGGCCATAGCGGCAGAGGTCACTTTTCCATTGGGATTGTTGTGGGCATTGACCAGCTTGGCACAGGTGCTGGCAATGGCAGGCAGTGCAGCAATTAGGCCGGTATCGGGGCGGCAGGATTGTTTCAGGCTGTTGCCCATCTTCTTGCGCCACCACCAGCCACGCCAAGTGGACTGCATTCGCGTGGCACTCTTGTGCCGAATCTCTGTGCGTAGATGCTCCAGATGCTGGCGTATGCCCTCGCTAATGAACACATGGCGCTTGCCCGGCGCCCAGGCCAACGTGACGGATCCATCCTGTACGGGTAACTGCTCCATGCCCATGGCATATTGCAGTATTAGCTGACAGTCCTCTAGAGCTTTGTCCTCGGTGCGTCGGAGTAGTCGGAAGGGAGCTAGCATGCGATAGCGCGCATTGAACTGCTTGAATCGCATCCGATGCGGAAATCCGGAGGCCATCAGGTTAACCGTCTCTAAGACCTGCAGCGATCGGATCTGCCGCACCACCGTCGCGCGCTCAAACCTGCCCGGCTGCTCAAATGTATTGCTACAGATACAGCGCACAAAGTGGGGACGAGCATGGACCAAGGTGCGCAGCAGATTATCCAGACGCGTATGAAAGTCCTGAGTGAGTGTCGAGACGGGCTCATCGCCGTTGAGTAGGTCTGAGTGCGAGGTGGGTGAGATGCGGAAGCTGAGACCACGTGGTGCCTGCTGCTGGGCATAAAGCGCCTTCAGCTCGGATCCAAAGAGATGCGTAGCGAAGCCAAAGTTGCAGCTGTGCTTGTAAAACACGGCGACCAGATCGTCCGGCACGACGTCCCGATTGGTGTCCAGAAAATCAGTCGTGTCATACTCGACGCGTCCAGCGAAGTGTCGAATCGCAAAGAGTCGCGGATCATCCGGCTCTAATGCGGTTCTAGTCTCCAGACGCGTAGAGCAGCGGTGCTGCACCTTCAGCTTGGTCACGTAGCTCTCAGCTGTGCCCCGCACTGAGCACTCCATGTCCAGCAGGCTCAGCAGGCCAGTGCGCAGCGAGGATATCAGATCGATGCATGGCACATTGTCCACATAGTCTACCTCGGTCTCGCAAACAATGCCCTCGTCTCGGCAGGACTCCACGGATGACTTGAATATGTGCGTGTTGTAGAAATGCTGCATCGTCTCGGCACACAAGTTGATGCACAAGTGTTCCAGCTGTGCGTGTGGTGATGGCTCCTCAAATCCGAACATATCCAATATCCCGATGAATCCATCCGTTGCGTGTCGCACTGCATTGTTCAATGCGGCCATCGATTTGGAGCCCGCATTGCCGCCGCCAATGGTCGATGCGTGCTGAGATGCTGCATCCGCCTGATTGTGCACAGACTCATTGGAGTCTGAGCTCAACGTACCTAGAGTGGAGCCCAGGCGCTTCAGGCTGTTCGCTCGTCGCACAATCGTTGCCACCAGTCTGCAGTAGAGCGCCTTGGCCAGGCAATCGCGCGTCATGTTGGCATCGCCATCGCCGCAGACCGACTTCACCAGCTGCCCGCGCACATTGTGGGTGCGTGTGGTCAGACCGCGAAACAGTGCCGCCGGTGGCACGCCCAAGAGACTGGCCACCGAATTAAGTTCCGTTTCGCCCTTCACATCTACCTCAAGCCCCTGCAAGAAAATAGTAGAAATTTCTTAAAAAATAGTATAATATAAATTATATAATGGGCTTGGAAGTAAAATAAAATTTCTTGCTCAGTAATTTATAAAGTTTCGTACACAACGTAATTCAGACGTAAATTACCCTTAAGTCACATCAGCGCAAGAAATTTAAAAATTATTAAAGATGACATTTAAATGTTGCATGAGCCGAAAGCGAACTCGCGACCTGCTGCACGACAGAGCGACACTCTACCGCAAACGCCATCTCAGCATCGTTGAATTTCTGACTAAGAATGAAACAACTATTCTTACATCAAATTTCAACAACTGCACATCTAGGTGGCGTTTATAAGCAATATAATAAAATGAACTGTAGATGGCGTGATACAACCGTAATAGCTCTACATTACACTAGTTATTCTCGAACATTGAAGAAATTAAAGTATCCAATACTAACAGATTAGAACAACATTTTGTCTCCTTTTTTCTGTCTATTAAACTGTTAGCTAATATTTAGTTAAGGAAATTGTAATCAAAATGATCGTAATTAACTTTGTAAGCTAATATAAATTTACTTACCCCTCCATCGATAAACTGAACGTTGCCCAGCAACAAGACAGCAGCGAGGACACGAACCACATCTAGAAAAGGTATGCCCAATATGCCCAGACAGGTCTTCCAAGCCTGGAAACGCACCGCATCCTCTTGCTCATTCTGGGCGACATCGCCACGCAGATAGCGCAAATTTGCTGGCGAGTAGCCCTCCAGATGCAGCTTCTGGCGCTCCTCTCTGTTGAGGCCAGCGAGCAGCTGGTAGAAAATGTGATAGTTCTTCTCCTTGGGCAGAGGTCGAATGACGCGTGTCTGGTCCAGAAAGTAGCAGTGGATCTTGGTACGATAGAGTGCGCCATCCGTCACCTGCACCTCTATGAACTGACCAATGCGGCTGGACTCGGAGTTAGTCGTTGTCTGAGCAGACCCAAGGGAACGTAATACTGTAAAGGCGGCGGCCAAATGCTTAAACGCATCCGTCTCTTGACCCCCACCGGCAATGGCAAAGAGCTGGCGCAGCATGAGCATGGCGTTCGCTGTCTTCCCTGCTCCGCTGGTACCCGAGAGGATGATGGCCTGCGGATAGCCGGTTTCACTCTGCTGACGCACCGCCTCCTGTACGATCTTCTGCAGCTGTGGTGCCAGCGGCAAGTCTCGCGTCGAAGTGAGTGTCAGCGGATTGCCCACATCCAGGTAGGGATTAATCGAAAGCAGAATTGAGCCCACATTAGTCTGGCAGAAGGGAAGAAGTTAAATGACAATTAAATATTCAGAATCTTGAATTGTAGAATTACCAAAGTTTAATGAAATGGGTTTGACTTTAATATATCAGACACATAACAATTACAATTGATCAGGCAAAGGAAACTGGGAATTAAGTAACATTTGATAGAGAGAGATCTAGGGTAGATTGTTGCTTCTTAAACATAGAATTTTGCTGTTTCTTCTTTGCACTGCTTCTCACAGACATTTCTAAGGCATCTTGATAATAGGATGTATAGCTATTCTATACATCCTATTATCAAGATAGACAAACACTGGTGATCACATGACACTAACCAGGATCTATCTCCATAGATAAAACGTTAGCTCTTAATATATACTTTTCTTAAAATAATAATAGTTTTTTAATCATTCAGTCAATCATCGACATGCGAGCGGAAGTGTTATCGTTAACAATCGATAAGCGTAAGTACAGTCCACTGCTAATAGTCTTATCAGCAGACAGATCGATTCGGCTGTTGATGAGTCTGGATAACAGTTGTCAATCGCTCAATTCTAACTGTTGTCTATGTTAGTAGCTAGCTGCAATTTGCAGTTCGACGGCATATAATTGTCGAAATTAACAGTTAATCTGAGGCCAGAAAGTAGCGGATATTCAATTTGCGATAATTGCTGGACAGGCGGATGGCGTTTGTCTGCTCGCAATAATTGAACTGGGCTAAAAGTGAATCTGATAGTTAAACTGGTTTTGTGGCGTTGGGAGGAAATGAAAGGTGATGATGACAGATCTGCATTAAATTGGGCAGAATAACACTTACGAAGTAGCGCTGCTCGTTGAAGCGCGCCTGCAGGGTATGCATGACGGCATGCTCGGTGAGTGGGCCCGCCAGATGTATCAGATCCTGCATGTCCTTGGGCAGGCGACTGACCTGCGACTGCTTGCCACTGGATGCTGCAAAGCCAAAACCGAACGGCAAGGTTTTCACGCTCTGGCAAGGATTCACGTGCTTGGCTGATTGGGGAAACTGTTGGCCGTTCGACTGCAAAGCCGCTGAGGCAACCAGAGCGTTGGCTGTGGAGCTGCGCATGGGCAGAGTATTGGATCTGGCATTGAGGCTGTGCGGCAAGGGGGCTGGGGGCAACGCCGACGTAGCACCCAATCCCGCATTGTTTCCCTTGTGATGACCCACAGCGGACTTCTCACTCAGCTGGTGTGGCAACGGATGCGGAATGGATGTGTTCCGAGCCGAGATAACAGCATTGGAGCACGAATTGCTTGGCAACGTCTGACTGTAATTGTACGCATGCTGCGGAAAGGAAATTAACAATCACAATTACTCAGGTGACTTCAATGTAGACTTACCTTGGGCAGGGTATGCTGGCCACCTCCGTTGGTATGCTGCTGCAATGCACTGGACGACAGCCCACCATTGCCCAGATTCAAATTTGGACTGGATGCGTTCAGGTCGTAGTTGGCTGCCTTCGCACCGCCTGCGCCTAGAGCAACTCCAGCGCCTGCTCCCATGCTGTGATGCTGCACATCGTTGGCCCGGCCATGTCCTTGACTCTCCACATGCAGCCGATTGCGCATGACCAGCAGCTCAGTGCTCAGACTCTTGAGCCGCTGCTGTAGGTGCACAGCCTCATTGGACGATGAGGCATCTGAAGGAGAAGAAACATTGATAAGGTTGTTAGCAAGGTAGCAGTCTCGAAGGAAGAGTCTATCTACATTGGCAATCTAACAATTTAAAATCAAATAATGTTAAGCAGAAACAAATATCTATTTAAAAGTGACTGACTAGGATACCCTACACACAGTCTTGAGACGGAGTCCCAAACATTTGCGCATGAATTTATAACATATATTAATTGAAATATTGCATTCTGCAAAAGTTGTTAATGAAATCCAGTATTTGCAGAACAATTTGATATAGTTTATGCATTTTTAATATATTAATTAATTCAGATTCGTCGCTCACAAAATATTGTTGAAATGGGTAAGAGGGCAAATCATTTTGTAGGCATCATTTCCATTTGTTATATGAGTATTCTATATATTACAAATTTCATAGTCCGACTCAGACAAAACCCAACTTTCCCAAAAAAAATAAAAAAAAATGTAAAATATTAATATTAAAATAAATACTAAAATATTATTTGAAGACACAACGTAGCTCAGTACGAAAAGTCAGTATATCATATTCAAAATAAACAGCTATTCATCTGAATCGGATCCCCTTTAAGTACCTGCATAAGTCAAAAATCAAAAATAAGTTGCATTTAAACTAACTGAATCATTCGAACAAAAACATTTTGAAATAATTTATATTAATGCAAACATTCATTTTTCCCTGTGAAATTATTCTTTTCTCTGGAACACCTTGTAGATGCTTTAAAAAGAATACACATATGCAATTCTATTTAGACACATTAAATTTGTTTAACAATACTCAAATAATCAATATTGGTTCCTGTAAACTCAATATTTTCAAATTGATATACAAACACAAATACTTTGAAGTTGTAAGTAGATCAATTATTTACTGAGTGAACGAGAAGTCAATGTTTATTACGGCACTGAATTTGTTTATTTTGACTTCAATCCGAGACACAACTAGAATTTAGTTTAGTCATATTTGTGTACACTCTGCACTATTCCAATACTTATAGTTTGCCCTTTATTGATCCTCGTATGCGACTGCCGACACAGTCTAATAAATTTCTTATTATTAACATAGACTAGCTCAACTACTCCTCGTGCTGTGCTTGATGTAATATTTATTCATAAGTTAATCAACGGTGAAATCAATCCCTCTGGGCTTATTAGACATTTAAATTACTCAGTTCCACTTGATTTTGTATATATATAATTATAAACCAATATTTTTCAAACGTTGCTCAATCAACTGTAGATTGTACGAACCGTTCCGCGTGAGTTAAAAAAATCTTCATTAAATGTGATTTTATAAAATAAATACAAAAGCAATTTATATATACATGACATAAATGAAACAAATATATGTGAATATCAATTCTTCTACTCAGATTATATGATGTTTGAGATAAACGTCTGGTGAATAGATAAATAAGTTATAGACATGTCTAGCTATTTGGAATTTACTTTTCGGAAATATTTTCCTCTGTGAAATATATAGCAGTATTCGAGGTGAAGGATTTAGACCTTGACAAAATCAAAGTCAGTCAAGTTATAAAGTCAAGCTTTGTTTTGTTTTGAGACTTTATTCTGTTTATGAAGATGAACGTTTGAAGAGAAGAAAATACAAATTTACAGATTTGTGGCCTTTAAGATTTGTTGTTGCCTTTTAGATTTATTTGACTGATCTTCGCTCATTATTTCCGCCAAATGTTCAATATATAAATAAAGAAAACAAAAAATTTCGACTTGATTTGACTATGACTATAATTTAATTCAACGACAGACGAACTTCTCCGTCTGCTAATATTTATTATTAATGTATATGTAATGTAGACAATTTTATTCAAGCAACTCTAGTTGTTGGAGTATTTAAATACTCACGAGAAGAAAAAAACGACTTTAAATTAAAAATAATTTTTAAAATGTTAATGAACTAATTTCACTCGCTAATCGGTCGACAGCGCAGAACGTGCGCTAAGATAAAACAAAAACAGAAAACTGGCGACAGGTGCCAAGTAGTAGAAGAAGAAGAAGAAGCAGCAGAAGAAGATGAAGACCACAACTAACTGAGATAAAAGGAATAAAATATCAATGAACTGAAATTTGATTATTATAGATAGCTTAAAGCGAACTTTCGAAAATGATGACATAAAAAGAACACGAGATACACTCAAATAGGAACACGTTTAAGCATGCTGTATACGACTACTAGATGCCCTCTGCAAGTTAACAATACATAGTGATAGATATACCATACAACTTTTCACAATATGTGTACCCTGAAAAGATCAATTGCATTTCGAAAAAGAGAAAATCACGTACCTAAAAGTTTTAATCTAATTGGAATTTTCTCTTTAATTTACCACAAAAAGTATATAAAAGTTATTTTCAATCGAATGCAGAGGCAAACGACGCCAAAACCCGATGTCTTTGATGCTAGAAACCAGTTTTTGTTTCTTAAGCTACCTACAAGAAACTTAGGTAAATGAAAACGTTCAGCAACATTTTCTTATGACTAATTGTAGAAAAAGTTTAGTCTTTAACCATTTAAATCTAATTATCTTATGTTTTTTTTTTTCGACTGCATAACGAACAGAGCTGCAGACATTATGTGGTGCAAGTCTCTTTCATCTAAACTCTGCTTAGCTCATTATTACAAGGATATACTATAAGATATTTATGACAAATTTGACACTGACATCTGATGCATTTGTTCAGACAAAGTCCTGTGTCTACTTCGTTTAAGGATAGTACAAATATAACCTTCTTAGTATTAGTATAAATTAGTTGCTCTAAATTTAGCACTCTAATATATTTGACAATTTTATGTATATATATATTATTTATATATTTATCTAAATCATATATATATATATATATGATTTTTACTAAGACTATACTAAATAGCTTTTAACTCTATAGTCTATACACTGAAGATATTTATTTATTTATAAATAACAATAAATTCATAATCAACATAAAAAATGACAACATAAATTGTTGAATTTAATTATTTATTTAAATTGTTCAATTTTTCTTTAACATTTTTTCGTCTAGTTGATTTGAAATTTAATTATTGCATGCAACAAAAGTTGAATTCAGACAAGGCATTTTCTTGGAAGCCGAAATCAGCGCGCTTGGAGTTGGCCACCAAAGAGCAGACAATAAAAACAAAACCGACTGGACCCAACGACGACGGCCGCATTTAAAGATCTCAACGGATGTGTTGGCGGCATCGCCTGGGACCAAAACTGGTCAGCAATGGGCGAGCGGAGAGGCTGCGACAAAGCGGGCGCTGGGCATATGTTGCAAGCCGTACGGCACACACCTATACACCCATACGGGCAACCAACTTGACTCGTAAACATGTACATATACACTCCCATATACCTCTATACAATTGTACACCTATACAGCTAAACACCTCTCTAGTTATACAGCTGCGCGCCACTAACAAGGGACCCATATAGGCACATACGTATGCTTGATGTACCTACATACAATTAGATACAGACCTACATATTGGTGCATAGCCATAAAAGGTACATGTGTATACTGGATGTATATACTGCATGCATACGTATGAATGATGTACCTACAGCACACGTATGTACATCCTCGGTCCTTGCTTGTGGCGAGCAGCTCTAAATATGGATGTTTCTGTTTCTATGTACCTGTATGCATGCCATAGTTTCAATGCTCTTTGATTCTGTGGCAGATTCATACTATTATATATGCTCACATCTATCTTTAAGCGTCTTTGACAATTAACTTTCTAAGTGAGTTCATTAAACAGTTTTCTTTTTAGAAGGGCAAACAGTTATTAAAGTTCAAAGCTCTTTAATAAGGCTCAATAAATCAGTTTCCCAACAAGCAGATAATGCGCCTTGTTTCGTTATAAAACAATGGGGGGCCATACGAGCTGGTAACAGTGAAACGAAAGACTTAGGAAAGAAACTGGAAATGGTCGAACAGTCAGTCTGGTATTGTGTGGCACTCACCCTGCAGCTTCTTCTCGGTCTCCCAAAACTTTTGCAATTCCGTAAAGTATTTATCCAGTATGAACACTTTTGACAGGCCCAATGTGGCCATCGTAGATGCACATTTGTGTGGCCACAGCGGAGAACGAAACTAGCTAATTTCAACTGCAGTCGCCGAAAAACGAGTTTCGACTTCAAATCCGATATTTTCTTTTCTTCTTTTTTTTGGCGACGAAAAGGACGAGAAGCGAGCTCCGTCGGCACCGGCGATGATATTTCTTATTTGAATAATTTCGTATACAGATACACAGCACAAAACACGCCCGATCGAACAGGTTTTCCGCACAGACGCTTACAGAAGGCAAACATTGTCCAGGTTGACCAGGTTGTATGTATGTCTCTCACTACGTCTGTGTGCAGTTGTTTCTGTATTTGTATCTGTGTCTGTGGCATACAAACTGGGCCTGGGCAGCAATACCAAACCGAACGTATGGAACGTATGCAGCTGCTTTGGCTTTTTGGCTCAGAGCAGCAAGTGAAACAACAACAAAAAAACAAACACGAGAAAAGAATGCAGAAGGGCAGCAGCCAAATCACTGAAAGTATCTGCCAGATACTTTTCGGTGTTGTGCAATTGTGTCTCGCTTTTGCTTTTGCTTTTCCACTCCACGTATTGTTATGTTTTTATATGTACCTATATACATATATATACATATATTTATATATTTCTTTTTATGCTTCTTATTATTATTTCTGTGGCTCAGTCGCGCGCGCTTGCAGACATTTTTGTTGTTGATTTTTTTCTTTTCTTTTTTGAAAAACGAGTTACCACCAATTTCAACTCGCCGCAGCAGCAGCAGCGGCAGCAACGCAGAGTGGGAACTCGAAGTAGATGCTTAGATACCTTAAAGGTACACACACACTCGCACTTGCACACACACACACGTTGAGAGCAGATTTATATATGTATGTGGTACATAGACTTTGCAGAACTTTTAGATATTTTAACTAAACTTTAACACATTGCTTAGCTGTGTTTTGTTTGTTGTTTAAGCACTTTATATATGTTTCATTTGAACTTCTTATAATCCACATTTACAGCTTCTTCGTAGTGAGCGAGCGAGCTGCCGTGATTCTCATTCGTTCGCTTTCAGGCCAATGCGCAGACTGAACGCTAACAACTCGACGCTCCAGACGCTGGATGTAGAAAAGCGATCGAGACGCGTCGTTGCGCTCTGAGCGGCTCTCGCGTGCTGGCGCAGGTAAATTTTTCAAACAGGTAAAAGGCCCGAGGTCTCTTTTTTCAGTTTCAATTACTCTGTCTGTGCAGTCGCTCAAATATGGGGTCAAGTATTTGAACTATGGGCCTCTCGCCTGGCTGGCTTAGCTGTCTCGTTTACTGGTCGCGTGTTAATTAGTGTTGATTGCTTATTGTTTTTTTGGTTTTGTATTTGTGTTTGGCTCTTGTTATTGTTTTGTTTATGCTGCATTTCACAATTCCCACATCATTTCCATTGCATTTTGCAAATCATTGTCTCTAACAACAGCTGCATGCTAATTTATTCCACATTTCTAACAGTCAGACACGATTTTCTAAACATGCAAATATCTATTTTCGCCAACATACCCAAAACAGGTTTATTTCCAATTATAGATAACCCCATTTTTTTTTCAAATCAAAACAAACCTTTATAGATGTTTAGTCCAGACTTTTCTTTGTAGCTTATTGAGGTTAAAGGCAAACTTGACACAGATAACGAAAATATATTTGTTACAAACTCTTCCTTATTCCTTACACTTTAATCCTTTAATATTAATATTTTTCTATTTTAGCAATAAATACATTCAAGCCAGGCCTAGCATATTTGTAAACAAACGTCTTGAAATTTGTTTATCCTAGACATCAACCCACTCGCTACAACAAAGACATGAACCGTAAACAGCTTGAAGCTAATATGGTAACCCTAAATACTGTTTTTTCTCTTCACTGCTTATCGATTCGCTGCGCCACAACCTCAAATAGTCAATTCGCTGCAATTGCTCAGGCATAAGCAATTTGTGTCCACTGAAAATCGTATTTAAATACTTAAATGGGTTTAATATTCATTTGAGAAACTTAAATGATTAAATGACATATATAAATATATAACATTTGAGTTAAGCAATTAGAGTACATATATATGAACGTGGAGTGTTCAGATTATCCACATAATGGAGTTGAATTCTTGACTTGGTATTTATTAATATTCATTAATTAAAATGGAACTGAAAAAAACATAAGTTTTCTTTTACAATTTAAAGTAATGCAAATGAGGACTAAAACTAACAGTAATAGAATTGGCATCTCTTCATCACAGATGCGGGTGGACATGACCATATTGGGAAGACACTCCAATAGGTGGGGTGGAAAGTGACAATACGTATATACATGAGGCTTTTTATTGCTTACCGAACAGTAACAAAAACTATAAACCATATATTTAATATAAGCGCACTTTATATATGCTTACCAGTTATATTTCCTGTAGTGTTATTGCATTTTTTCTTGCGTCTGGCAACCGGAAGTGTATAAATAGCTGAGAACTTTGTGAAGCGCTCGACCACATCATGATTGGCTTTGGTGGCAGATAGCACCGAGGATTCCTGTTCCTTGGAAGCGGTTACCTCTGGCTTGTCCAGGGATGGCAAGGCTTGGCTTTGCTTCGGCGAGGGTGTTGTTGAGCTGCAAAGTATTGAAGTCAGAGTGGAGCAAACATCTGTGGCAAGCAGAGTACCCACCTGAGTGCCTTGTGGTACTGACAAAAGAAATCGGGACGCATGCGATGCCGGCAAAGAAAATCCTCGCACAGCCGCAACACATCGTCGCAATTCTCGCTCTTAGTTGACGGCTCGCTCTGCTCCTTGGCAGGTCCACTGGGTGTAGAGGTGCGCAGAGTCTCTGGTGTTTCATGGTGCACATTTGCAGACTGCTGATGGCTGCAGAGAAAGGCCGGCAGAGAGGCGCCCACAAAGTCGGGTATATTCTCAAAGAAGTCGGCGGTGCGATCGTAGCTATTGCTGATGTTGCTGTTGTTGCTGTTGCTGTTGTTGCTGGAGCCCTTGAAGTCCGGCTTGGTCAGATGTCGGTGCACGTAGTCGGCGTACGTCTGGTCCGGCAGCAACATAGCATCAACATCTTGCGTGACCCATTAACCGAAGATATCTGCAACAAATGAGTTGGATGCGTAATCAATCGCAACATCAATTCGCATTTTAATTGCTTTTAAATCAAGCGTACAACTCTCGTCGCACTCTGGTGGCCAGTTGCCAAGTTGCAACTTGTTGCAAGTGGCTTCCGCGTCTGCATCGCCCATAAACCTGTCAGTTTATTGGCGCATGCGATTACCTCGATTAGCGTGACCATGACGAAGGTGACAGACACGGACGCTAATGCCTTTTACTGCGTGTGACGGCAAAGCTCCAGCCTTCGCTCTCCCTCTCTCTCTCTCGCCGCATCTCTCTTAGAACTCAAAGTCTGGCAGCATGCCGTGCCAGATAGATGAGTTGCCAACCGAAATGAGACACAATATTTATGCCACACTTTGCCAAACCGAACCGAACCGAACCGATCCTCGTGTGGTCTAGCAGTCTACCTTCTCGTGTGGCTCGACTTTTGCTTTCCGCAATTAACTTAAATGATTGTCATAAAAATGTTGCAAGTGTGGATGCTATGGCCATGTGGCCATGGGGCCATGGCCACCACGAGCCATTGCCGCCGGCGCAGGCATTTTTCAGTGTCAGCCCAGCGGGCGGCTCCGTTTGAGTACTCGTAGAAAGCTTCAGTTCGCCGATATCTGAGTCACTTCCACATTTTTCCGGTTTATTATGGCGATTACGGCCAAGTAGCTCGAGCTGTGAGTTCTACTCGACTGACACCTTGAGCTCTCTGCTTAAGTTTCTTTCAAGCCAGCCGACTTAACCAATTAATATTTTCTTACTATTATATAAATAAATAATTAATTAAGTATAATGACTCAATGCATATTTGTATTTATAAATTTACATCACTTTTTAAGGCAGCTGGCTAAAGGAAAAATGCTAAAATTATCAAATATGCTAACAATAAGCAAAGTAAAAGTAAAGTGATCAACTGAACAGGCTTCTTACAACATCGTAAAGATATTTATTTCATCAATCAAGTAGTACACAGCTATAAAATTGATTAAATCAATCATCACAATCATTGTATCTTCCCTTCTAGAATTTCCCTTCTAAAATTTGGTCTTACTTATGGTAAGACAAGATAAGTCTATACAACAAAGTATCTCTATTTCTCTCTCTCTCTCTAATTTTCCCCCTTTTTTTTCCCTCTCCCTCTTTCTGTCTGTATTAAAAAAGCTTCACTCTTAAAATTTGAACAAGCGCAAGGATAGTCCTTAGAGTTAGTGATATAAAAGGCGGAATGTTAAGTATTCTGAAACATGATTTGATAATGTATACATAGGTATCGCAAGGTAAAAGTGGAGTTTGTCGCTAAATTATATCTTGACTTTAGCTCGAAAATATATAAAATACTAATACAAAGGGAAAACCACTCAAAAAGTCAAAATTGATCGACATAAGAAACTAGAAATTACAAATGTAAATTAAATATGATATATATAGCAAATTGGGAGACCCAAAAAGGGGAGACACACCTGAAATAACTTATATTGATTTTGATCGATTTTAATGGAAAAGGAAAATCCCTAATATAATTATTTTAATTGTGAAAGAGAGGGATATAAGAATAACAAGTCTCTAGCTTTATATGGTCTTATGCATATGGACAGACCGGCGAACGTATGGGTGGACAGGCAGACGGACAGAGCGCGATTCAATGGGCTTTATTACAACGCCAGGTCTACCGCCTTGTTCTGCCTGTTGCATTTCCTGAAGAAAAAACTCTGAATTGCCACTTATCAATGAGTTCACGGTATAAAAGGCACTTTATGTCAGCAAATCAGTTAATGAGATGAAGTAAATTGATATCATCTACTCGGACAAGAATTATGTAAATAGACAAATATAAATAGATAAGTTAGCCCATAAATATGATAACCTACAGCGAGGAGCATTTATTAAAGACAGTTGAACGAGAAGAGCAGCAATCGATGAACGGAAACTTTTAGCAGGAGCAG